GGCCTAACAGCTGCACACATTTGTGATAAGTTTGAGATGCATGGTACTGTGTGTGATGTGCACAAGGGAAGATCCAGGAGGCCTCGCACAGCAACAAGTCCTGCAGTAGTTAGCTATAATTAGAAGTGTCTGGATGCTGATGATAACCACTTTGAGTACCTCCTGTAATTTCATAAGTCAAATGTGACTTGTATTCATTTTTTGTAATTGTACATTTTTTGGCACCCTGTATGTGTGTATATATATGTATATGTGTTTTTTTCCTATTGGTTCTGTCTCTCTGGAGAACCTTGAGATACAATATTAAATGTAAACAGTCAACACAAGCTAAGGCAATCTTAGTGGAAAAGAAACAACTAGGAAGACTTACTCTGCCAGATGTTCGGACTTCTTAAAAAGATCTAATTGGCAATTGTTTTGTTAAACTCTAATGTGTCCACAAGGCTCTTTGAGTTATGGCCACCATGTTTCTTGGCTTTGGCCCACTTCCCTACCTTGAGGAGGTGAATCTCCTCTCTCTTCTCTAATCTACTTTTTAAATAAACTATATTTTCCAATCTAAAATAAAAAAGCCCTAATTATTAAAACAGCACAATGTTACAGAAAGATAGACAAAAGATCAACAGAACAGAGAGCCTAGAAATAGGCCCCCCAAAACGAACACTTGGTTTGTACAAAGAAAGCTCTGCAAAGCAGTAGGTAAAGGATGGTTTATCCATGAACAGCACTGGATTACATCCACATGAAACAAAGCAAAACTTGGGTTGGGCCTGGTGGCTCATGCCTGTAATCCCAGCACTTTGGGAGGCAGAGGAGAGAGGAGTGCCTGAGCCCAGGGCTTCAAGATCAGCCTGGGCAACTTGGCGAGACCTCATCACTACAATAAGTAAAAAAAATTAGCTGGGCATCATGGCACATGCCTGTAGTTCCAGCTACTTGGAAGGCTGAGGTGGAAGGATTGCCTGAGTCCAGCAGGTTGAGGTTGTGGTGGCTGTAAGCATGCCACTGCACTCTAAGCTGGGTGACAGAGTAAGACTCTGACTTAAAAAAACAAAACCTGTACTTCACATCACACCATAGAAAAATCAATTCCAGGTAAACTATAGGTCTAAATGTGAAATGTAGAACATTAAGGCTTCTTGAGGAAAAACAGGTGGTAAGCTTCATGACTGTGGGGTTAAGGAAAGATTGCTTAAACAGGGCACTAAAAGTACTAATCATAAAGGAAAAGAAGGATAAATTGGACCACACTAAAATTAGGATTATTGGTTCAACAAAAGAGAGTGAAAAGCAAGCCTTGGAGTTGCAGAATATATTTAACAGAAAAGGGCTCATATCCAGGATATCTACTATACAAAGAAGTACATTTAAAAACATAGGAAATACAGTAGAAAAGTGAGCAAAAGACTTAAATAGGCAGTTTCCAAAAAAGAAGATATTCACATGGTGAATAAAATACAAGGAGACTATGGCACAAGTCCATAAGAATGGCTATAATTAAAAATATTTATGATGCAATGTCTTGGGAAGGGTGTGGAGCAATGAGAAATCTCCTCACTTACTGGGAAGGTGTAATGTAAGAACTTTGGAAAGATGTTTGACATTATCTCCTAAAGTTGAACAAATATTGTATGATCTAGCATTTTTACATCTAGGTATATATTCAATAGAAATATGTATGTACATGTAATAAAATATATGCACAAAATATTTGCTTATGTATAAGTCATAATTATCCCAAACTAGAAAACCAACTAAATACCCATCAATAGAGTGGATAACTTGTGGTATATTCATATAATGGGATATTACCCAGCAACAAAAATGAGCAAACTAATGGTATACTCAACAAACATGAAGACAGAAGTGAGACACAAAAGAATATATCGTATATGATTTCACTAATTCAAAAACAGGCAAAATGAATCCCTATTATAGAAATCAGCATGGTTACCTTTAGGGAGGAGGAGAGAGGAATTGAGATGGAAGGGGGATGAAGAAGACATCAGGGTTGCCATTATACTGTATATCTTAATGGGAATGGTGGTTGCATGCATATTTTTGGTGAGAATTTTGTGAAAATATGCTATTAAATATATATATATAATTTATGTTTTTGCATGTATATTGTATTTCAATAAAAACTAAAACTAGGATGATATGCACATTAAAAAGAAAAATACTTGGAAAACACATTTTAAAAAACACAAGCCACCTATAAGAATGCAAGTGATAAACCTGAATTAATTATACTCAGTAGTGACAGGAAAATAATTATGTATTTACTAGGCCCCAAAAGGGTGACAAGTAGATTATACTTGGAGTTAATTTTTATGTGTTAATGAAATAGTAATTCTGAATGCTCTAGGATGTTTTAGGTATTTTAAAGCAATCAGGAACAAATGAGGAAATTCTATCCTGACGTTTGTTAGAGGTATTTCCTGTGCCAAATTGGAATGCTATGAGGTATGGATTAGGTGCTCATATGATCGAAATAAAATGACTTACACTTCATTTACTTACTTGTTACTTCTTCCTTATCTCTTATTCAAAGGATTTAAAATTATAATAAAAACCACAGATATATAAAATTAACATATTTTTATTTTAGTAAAATTATGATGCAATAAATAAAGAAGGGATTAGGAAACATCAAGATATTTTGTGTAGTAACCTCTAAATCCCAATATATTGTTTAATTGTAAGAGTGGTACTCATCAAAGCTCATCTCTGAATTTTTTATGATGCTTAGGACAGTGATTTCATCAACAAGAATTTGCTGTTAATCTCATCATCATAAAATGAAAAAAAATTTTTTAAAGAATTTACTGTTGAAAGTTAAAAAAAGATCATATTACTATGTTCCTTTCTTCTCTACAGTAAAAAACAAACTAGATAGCGGAATAGCTGCATTTCATATGTGTACTTAGAGAGCTGAGAAGTCTAGCTCTCTATTTAAACAGAGAATTTGCAGTGGGTAAATCTAGTTTCTTGATCTTATGGAAAGTAATATTCGTCAGAGTTTTGTTACTTAATGTGTTGCAGTGTGTCTCTCATACATGTGACCCAAACAGAATAATATAACTGTGTTAAATTTAATGATATAAGTAACTCAAGTAATTTTCTCCGTGACAAAATTTGGCCAATTAATGCTTAAGAAAGCAGTATTTTTTTTTTTGCCCTTGGGAATGTTAAAAAGTTTGGGAAACTATATTAATGAGGAAGTGCCTAATCAACTGGTTTTCAAGTGTGTGAAAGGTATATGGATAGAGAATCGAATAGTTTTCCAGTGTAAGGAGAACACTATATGAGCAATAATAGATTTTTGTGTTTCTCTTAGATCATGCCAGAGTGAAATTAATTTAAATCACGAATACAAGGATTTAAGTTTAGATATATGAGGGGATCTCCATAAAAAAATACTTGTACAGGCTTCCCTGAATAGTTAAGTGTTCTAGGAACCCATTGGCATCAGCGCACCACCTAGTATTGTTGTGAGAAGCTGCATTTGGCTTCAGTGAATTTTTTTTTGAGATTCTTTCAATGCATTTGCCCATTTCATGATGATTGATTTACATGAACTATGTGTGGCACCTGCCCACACTGGGCTGAATGTTCAGCAGTTTTTGAACAAAAATGGCATGGCCTCCATGCCCCACCCTCCCATTCACCAGCTTTTGCCTCGAACAACTTTTTTTTGTTTGTTTCTCTGGATGAGAAAAGTCCTCAAAGGGAAACATTCTGCCGATGTTGAAGAGGTGAAACAAAAAATAGCAGAAGCACTAAAAGGTATCAAAATTGAGAAGTTCAAAAACTGTTTTGAGCAGTGGATAAAGCATCTCTATAGGTGTATTGCATCAAATGGAGAGTATTCTGAAGGTGACTGAAGTTTAAACATGTAAGAATACATATACAATTTTTTAATAAATAAATTCTGGGTTTATTTTTTGTTGCCTCCTTAGAAGAGTAGCTTTGAGTGGGCAAAATTACTTTCAAAGAATGTTGGTATCATTTTTGGACTATCAAAAAGAAAAAAGCATGATCAGAGTTATCTTTCTGGTGTGATTTTGAGGGAAGAAAAGTGGTATCCATAGTTGCAGAGGTAATTTTCTTATACCATCATATACCACAAAATGACATTTTGGTCAATGATGATAAAATTGCACATTTGCCAGCTTTCTCTTAAGACTATATGGAGCTGATTCCTATCATCTAGTGGCATCTTGATGATCCTGACTCTGTGTAGGCCTAGGCTAACGTGTTTGTTTGTGTCTTAGTTTTTTGTTTGTTTTTTTTAACAAAAAAGCTTAAAAAGTAAAAATAATTTTAAAATGTTTAAAAGAGAAAAAAGCTTACAGAATAAAGATGTAAAGGAAGTATTTTTATATGGTTATACAATGTGTTTGTGTTTCAAGTTAAGTATTATTACAAAGGAGCCAGAAGGCTAAAAAAAATTAAAACATTTATAAAGTAAAAAAGTTAGAGTAAGCTAGGGTTAATTTATTATGAAAGAAAAAATATTTAAAAAATATATTTACTGTAGTGTGGGTGTACAGTGTATATACAGCCTACAGTAGTACATAGTAATGTCCTAGGCCTTCACATTCATTTACCACTCACTGTCTCACCCAGAACAACTTCTAGTCCTGTAAGCTCCATTCATGGTAAGTGCTCTAAACAGGTGTACCCATTTTTTATCTTTTATACCATGTATTTTCTGTACCTTTCGTGTGTTTAGATAAACAAATAGTTATCATAGTGTTAAAACTGCCTATAGTATTCAGTACAGTGACATGCTTTGTTGGTTTGTATTGGAACAACTGGCTCTGCCATATAGCCCAAGTGTGTAGTAGGCTCTACCACCTAGGTTTTTACACGTATACTCTATAATGCTCACATAAGATGAAATTTCCGAAGGATGCATTTTTGAGAATGTATCCCCGTTGTCATTAAGCAGCACTCTGATGTGATTTCTATCTCTAACTTGGTTACAGTAATACTCACCAAATGCTGTCCAATGTACTAAAAAGAAGTACATTATAGCCTAAGCCACTCTGTAACTTCTTAGGGTCTGTTTTCATTACATGAAGAATTATATCTATTCCTTCAGTTCCAAAAATTTCCTGTTTTAAGAGATTTGTTTTCAATTATTTATTGAAATAAATAAATAATCGGTCCCTTCCCCTCTTTATCCTATCCTTGAAAATTATTTTTCTATCAGAGAAATACAGTAATATTGTTTGGAAAATAGTTTTTATAATACAATTTTAAAGATGTGTGTGCACTTTTTCTCAGGAATTTAAGACAAATTATTGCAAAGGCAATCATCTTGAGAGGGTATCAATAAACAGGCAAAATTAATGTCTTTTTAGATTTTTAACTTTTTCCCCTTTCTCTCTTTTTCTTAAAAATAAAAGCCGCCAGGCACAGTGGTTTATGCCTGTAATCCCAGCACTTTGGCAGGTGGAGCTGAGAAGATTGCCAGAGCTCAGGGGTTTGAGGCCAGCCTGAGCAACATGGTGAGACCTCATCTCTACAATACGTCAAAAAAATCAGCTGGGTGTGGTGGCACATGCCTATGGTTCCAGTTACCTGGAAGGCTGAGGTGGAAGGATCACCTGAGTCCAGTATGCCACTACACTTCAGCCTGGATGACAGAGAGAGACTCCGGCTCAAAAAATAAAAAAATTTTTAAAAAGCCATAAGACTTGTCCCTTGATCTTCTTCCATGTTATAATAAGTGTGGTCTACCATCATGTCAGATCAATACTTAGAGAATAATAACTATCATGGCAGATTTTCTAATAATCCCAAGAGAGAACTAAGCATATATGGTAGTTAAACCTTTTAATAATTTATGTAAAGTTTCTACCATTTAATGTTTCCCTTACTGATTACCTTTCTCACTGCCTTGTTGTTCAGTTCTGGTTCCCAGTAAGCAAGATGATTATTTTTCCAAAAGAGCACAAGCCAGAGTAAATGGTAGGATATAAGGAGAAGGTGCATCAAAGCTTGGAGTTAAGAATGCATTCACTTAAAATCTATGTATTGAAACCTTAATCAGTTTTTTATTTTATCTTTCCAGTTGTATTCCTTGCTATTTAAATTACCAACCTTTGAGACTTAGAGTTTACTATGGAGCTAAAAAAGATAGGAGGAACATGAAGAGATTTGCTATTTGTGTGATACAGCTGGGAAAAAGAAGAAGAAAAAGAAAAGAAGAAAAGAAAAAAGAGGAAAGAAAAAGGGGAAAATGAAAAGAATGAAAAGAAAAAGGGAAAAAACAAGAGAGGAAAAAAAGGAAAGGAATTACAATCTTTTTCTAACTTAGTTTTATGTATGAACCCAACCGAAACCTCAAACATTTATAATGGTACAGCTCACTTTGAAAAACTATTTGATCATTTCTTATAAAGATAAATATACACATATTTTATGATATATCAATTCCACTCCTAGATATTTACCTAGGAGAAATGAAAGCGTTATGTCTACAAAAAGAGTAGTACAAGATTGTTCACTGAAGCTTAACCCAAGCGCCTAGCACTAGGGGAATGGATAAGCAAATTCTGGTATATTCATACAGTGGAATACTGCTCAGCAATAAAAAGAAATGAACTACTGATACATGCAACAACTTGGCTATACTTCTGAAATATGATGCTGGATGACAGAAATCAGACATATATGAGTAAATACTGTGTGACTGCACTTGTATGAAGTTAAAGAATAGGTAATCCAATCTATAGGAATAGAAAACCAAATAGTGGTTTGTCTGGAGGTGGGTGAGGGGATGGCTTTTAAGAGGGTGAAGAGATTTTAAAGAGAGATGGCAATATTATATGTTTTAATTGGGGGTATTAGTTAAATGGGTATATACATTCATCCAAACCTTTTCAACTATATATTCAAGACCTGTACCTTCTACTGTATATATATTATACTCTAATTATAAAAAAGAACATTAAAATTTCACAAGATTAAAAAGATTTATGGTACTTACTAAAAAGGGAAGTTCATAGTATGAGGTGACTGGAAGGCTTGAACAAAGCTTTCACAGGCATACATACCTTCCTTTGAATATGATGCTCACAAAGACCGGATAAGATAAGTAATATATCAGACTGGATTTCCAAAACAATGGCCTCTTCTTTTTCATTAGGCCTGCTCATTATATTTTTAAAGATTCCTGGTATGAAAAAATTTAAAGAATGGAAGCTATTGGACATGTTTTATTTTGATCAATTACTTTTTGGGAATCCCATTTACAAATTTCTTCTGCTATATAAATTATTTTAGAAGACGATACTTTCATTGCACAGTAACCTAGAAGCTGTGGACAAAGGATACTAAATGAATTCCTTGAGCATTCAATACAATCAGTAGACCCACACATACAGAATTTCTCAACACAATCAGTAGACCCACATATATAGAAATTTTAGAACAGAATTCATGGAGTGTCATTAAAAGAAGCCATAACAGCCTGAAATTTTTTTCCCAGCAAACTGTTTAAAAATATAGTTTCATAAGACAGAGATGAGTGTCTTTCCAAATATATGACCAAAACGCCTAAGTAGTTTGCCTCATCTCTTCCTCTGCTCATAGTTAAGAGTTAATAGTTAATTTTAAGCAAAGGCAGAAGACCTCTCTAAGTAATAGGACTAGTTTTACAGTCCTATTATTTCTTCCTGTACCTTCTCCTCATATCTACCTGAAAGTGTCTTCAACAACTTTAGACAGCAGTATACCAAGTCGTTTAAAATCCCTCCTTTGTCTGGGCTTGGTGACTCAGCCTGTAATCCCAGCACTTTGGGAGGCCAAGGCAGAAGGAATGCTTGAGCCCAAAACTTTGAGACCAGCCTGGAAAACATAGCAAGACCTCATCGCCACAGAAAACAAAAAAAAAAAGAAATTAGTCAGGCATGGTGGCTCATGCCTGTAGTCCCAGCTACTCAGAAGGCTGAAGTGGAAGGTACACCTGAACCTGGGAAGTCAAGGGTATGGTGAGCCTTGATCATGCCACTGTACTCCAGTCTGGGCAACAGAGTGTGACCCTGACTCCAAAAACAAACAAAGCCACTAAGGCTGATTAAATGATATTCACAATAAAATTTTGCCTCAAAAAAGAATTTTCCTTTAAGCTTTAAATGAGAAACAAAAGTAATGAAAAAATATTTTAAAGGAATCACTGGCATTAGCTGGAAAGTAGGGAGCTATGTTCCAAAGTAGAAGGGCCAGGGACATCACATCCTATCCCTATAGCTGGTCCTGAGGGACTGATTATTCTTGGTCCTGTCAGGATGAATCACAGGTGTGGAATCAGAGCTGCTAGTTGATACCACTGGAGGCTCAATGCAGGGGCATATCGCGGACAGAAGGGCCTATGTTCCTTTATCTGGAGCATCATCTAGGAATTCAACCTGGCTAAGTCACAGGTCTGCTTCTCTTTTCAATCATTTCATTCTCCCTCCTTCCTAGGTGCAGGCGTGTTAACTTTCCCTGCTGCTTGTAACACACAGAATATTAATATTTGCTCCATATTTAAGTTCCCTTTAACTCCCTGACTTTACCCTTGTTGTATTCTAAATCATTCTATTTCTTTCAGACTCCTCTTCCTAAAATTGTACATAACCTCACTAAACAAAACCCCTTGTGGCTCTCCATGCCTAGAGAGGATGAAGTTCAAACTGTTGTTGATCACTCAAAACTCTTTCCAGTTTGACCTCTGACTATACAATTAACCTATATCATCTGTCTTCATAAAACTTTTGCTCCACTTAAACTAGCTCTGAACATATCAAGATCCATATTTCAGTACCATGTCTCTTCTCCTGCTATTCCCTTGTTTGATGGCCATCCTCCCCTCGTCCCTGCCCCTTGGAACTACCCTTACACCTTTATTACAGGATCCTATTAAGACTACCTAGCCTTGAAAAATACCCAAGCCTCTTTGTTTCTGTAACATCTTCTCTCTATATTACTTGTTAAATACCTAATTGTGGCACACGGTAATACATGCCATCTTTCTATGATATACGTATTTTCTTTTGTTCTCACCAAGGGCAGGATCCAGTGTTCTGCTCTATACATGTTTGTAACTCAAGCACCTACACAGAAAGTATATGAACATTTCACTTAAAATTGTAAAAAAATATGTAAAATATAATTATTACTACCACAAAGTCCCATTAGATTCAGTAAGACAAGGGCCCTGCCTCCAAGAATTTGACATGCTAAAGACCAGCTTCTTTCCAGTTAAAGGGAAATGCTTCTAAGAAGAGAAGAACCTTTACTATATATTTTCCCTTTTCCCTATCCTACATCCCCAGCCCAGGTAGGATTAAGACTTCTTCCTGGACATGTGGAAGATTATATTTCCTGGACTTCCTCTGTTAGGCTGGGACCTTATAACAGTTCTGTGCAATGGAATGTGCACGAGTGACACATATACTCTTAAGTTTGGTCATCCCAAGCAAACCTGGCAAGAAGGTAAATGTTTCAGATTAGATCCCATCTCCATATGGTTCTTCTTCCTCACAATTATCACTATTGGAGGGCAATGCACCAGTCCTCTAATGATAGAAGACACTTTAACGAGTAGAAGAGTTTTTGAGTAGGCATAGGTAATTAACTGACATCTAGCAGATTATATCATTTACTCATTAAGCAATCACTGAATAGAAATGAGTGAAATTGTACTTAATTTTCAAAGTCAAGGAAAGGTGAGGGTTGGAGAACTGTTTATTTTTTAAATAACAAAAGATAAAGCAGCTTTTGTTTGTGGGTTCTGAATTTTACACTAGGATTGCATGTATTTTGAAATAAGTTGAATAAGTTGACTTAGCATAGTCAATTGCCAGTTTGAAAAAAATCAAGAAGACTCTGATATTTCACACCAGAAATGAAGCTCCTTTGTATATTTTTGTATATACCAGTGTACCAGTGTTCTGGTATGCCAGGTGAATTGGAAAATGTAAAGTTATCCTCCTTTTTTTTTTTTTTTTAGAGACAAGGTTTCACAGTATGTCGCCTAGACTGGTCTCAAACTCCTGGGCTCAGGTATTCCTCTTGCCTCACTCAGCCTCCCAAAGTGCTGGGATTACAGATGTGAACCACTACACCTGGCCCTGTTGTCCTCTTTTAAAATGTTCCAAAAGTTTTGGCCAAAATCGATCTTATTACTAAGAATGAAACATAACCTAGCACATTAAAAAGAGAGTGATGATGATAATTCTAAATGAAATGGTATCTGAATTGAGAAAACGAATGTTTAAACAATTAGTGATTATGATGTTTCAACAGGAAGACAAATTGATTTATAGCAACAATATGAAACAAAAATTAAGAAAATATTCAGGAGTTTCTAGCCATAAAGACAAAATAAATTTGTAGAAAAATATCTCAAACAAAACCTCTAGTATTGTAAATGTTGCCCTTTTATCAGTAAACCACCATGTTATACTTTACCTATTATTTGCTGAATTGCTCCCTTTTCACAAAGGTCTGTGTTCACAGTCTCATCTTCAAGGAAGACCATGGCTCTCAGGAGTCTTAAACTGTAACGCATCTGGGCAAACTTGTTGCCGCGACCACCTGTACCATGAAAACTGTTACCATGACTAAGGAAGGGCTCTGTGGAGAAAAGTTAATAATTTACTTTACATCAGGAAATTTAAAAATACATCAATCTTTTCTTATTTGGCTTAAGCTCATGATTTTTTTTTTTTTTTTTTTTTAAGTCAGAGTCCCCACTCTATCGCCCAGGCTGGAGTGCAGTGACACGCTCCCGGCCACCCTAGCGTTGACCCCCTGGGCTCCGGCGATCCTTCCGCCTCAGCCTTCCGAGGAGCTGGAACTACAGGCAAGCACTACCACGCCCCGCTGATTTTTGATTTATTGTAGTGACGAGGTCTCACCAAGTTGCCTGGGCTGTTCTCAAGCCCGTGAGCTCAGGCAATCCACTCACCCTGGCTTCCCCATGTACTGTGATTACAGGTTGAGCCACTGAGCCTGGCTGCTCATGAATTTTTTTTACAGAAAGCCTTTTCTACCCTGATGTCTATCATAAAGATATTTTCCCATGTTTTCTTCTAAGAGTTTCACAGTTTAACTTTTCAGCTTTATGTTGTTGTTTTTTTTTAAACAGATGTGGGGTACAATTATATTTAGGTCTTTAATTCATTTTTGCAATTGATTCTTTTTTTTTAACAAAGGGAAAGGATCTGATTTTTACTTTTCACATGGAAAGCCTATTGCCCTAGCACCATCTTTTTCTTGCTGACTGGCATTATCAATTCTAATGCTAGAATTCCATATATTCCATGCTATTAGTCTATCTATGACTTAGTTCCACATAATTTTAATTACTAGAGTTTTATAATAAGTCTTGATAAACAGCAAGGCAAATTGTCCCTTCTCTATAATATGCTTTCTTTCAAAGTTTCTTTCAGAAGTAGCTTATGTTTCAAGCTAAAAACAGTTTAAAATACTGTTTTAACTATTGCTTGCTGGTTAAAAGGGTGGGTTCTAGAACCTGGGTTAACTCCTTGCTCTGCCACTTGTGGCTACTCCAGTGGCCAGGAACAAGTTATTTAACTTCTCAGACTGAGTTCAACCCAACTAACAAGCAGGAATAATAATGATACCTATATCTCCGAGGATTGTGGAGAGGACCTAATATTTGTGAGGTGTTCAAGTCCTACCACATAGTAGGTTCTCAGTAACTGTTAGCTATTAGTCTTCCACTTGTTAGCCAGCATTCTTCCCTTTTGCCTTACAGTCTTCTGTAAAAAGAAACAAAATAAAATATAAGCAGAAGGCCAGGTGTGGTGGCTCATGCCTGTGATCCCAACACTTTGAGAGGCTGAGGTGAGAGGACTGCCTGAGTCCAGGAGTTTGAGAACAGCCTGGACAACTTGGCAAGACCTCATCTCTACAATACACCAAGAAATTAGCCAGGAGTGATGGTGCGCATCTGTAGTTCCAGCTACTTGGAAGGCTGAGGTGGAAGGTTACCTGAGCCCAGCAGGTTGAGGCTGTGGTGGCTGCAAGCATGCCACTGCACTCAAGCCTCGGTGACAAAGTGAGACCCCAACTCAAAAAAAAAAAAAAAAAAAGGCAGAATGATTTTTTTATTTAGTAGAAATTTAGGCTAAATTTAATAGCTCAACATAATGGAAACTAAAAAATAAAAGAATTTTTTCCTTCTTTATAGATACTCCTGATCTGATAAAAATGCACCATATACAATTATTTCTAGAGCCAAATTAAAGAAAAAGAAGTAGCATCTTCCTTATAAAAATTTTAAACTCATTAATGTATTTTTCATCTCCTTTCTAAGAAGTGAAATAAAATACAAATACAAACTGGGGCTCTGCTAATTTTGTAGACTACATATAGAGTCATTATTTCTTGCCATAGATCTAGGTTTTACGCTCCATGAAGGTAAGCATTTTTATTTATTTTAAGCACCAATGTATTTTCAGCAGCTGAAACAATATCTGGTACTCAGTAGGCATTTGATAAACATTTGCTATGAATGCATTAAAACACTGCCAGGATTTATTTCCTTCCTATATATTATTTTTGGATAGGTCTAATAATACAACGATTTAAGTCAAATTACACATATGATTTCTTAGATGTTCATCAACTACTGTTATAACATTTACTAATGTTTTATTTTTAATGAAATCTGTTTTTTTCCTAAAACAACATTAAAAAGAAGACAGAGCCGGGCTCGGTGGCTCAGCCTGTAATTCCGCGCCTTTGGGAGGCTGAGGTGAGTGGATTGCCTGAGCCCGCGGGTTCGAGACCCGCCTGGGCAGCGAGACCTCATCTCTACAATAAATCAAAAAATCAGCCGGGTCTGGTAGCGCATGCCTGTAATTCCGGCTACTTGGAAGGGTGAGGCGGAAGGATCGCCAGAGCCCAGCAGGTCGAGGCTGCGGTGGCTGGGAGCGGCCATTGCACTCCAGTCTGGGCGACAGAGTGAGACTCCAACTCAAAAAAAAAAAAAAGAAGGTCTACATATTTTAATTTCTCTTAACTTTAGTTAACATTATTGCTTTTTCTATGCACATACTGTGACTTCAGTTGAAATATGCAGATTAGAATTTTGACAAGAATCTTAACAGGTCACTCACCCTCACTCTCACACCATTCCAGAAAAGCAAGGACTCGAGCATTTCCCTCATGTGACATATATTCTCCTGTTAATAAAGGAGCCACTGATGACAAAGTGGCAATTGCATGCAACTGTAATTCTTCATGCTGTGCTGGAGACCATTCCATTATTTTGTGTCTCTCAGGTTTTTTAACATAGGTAAACAAAGCCAGAACAACTTTGCCTTCTATTAATAGCTAAGAGAAAAGGGCAAAAGATACTTTGTTAGAAACATAATTAAAATAACTTTATTCAAGCCGGTTGTGGGGGCTCTGACTATAATCTCAGCACTTTGGGAGGTCTAGGTGGGAAGATCGTTTGAGGCCAGCAGTTTGAGACCAGTCTGGGCAAAATGGTTAGACTCTGCCTTTACAAAAAATAGAAAGATTAGCTGGGTGTGATAGCACATGCTTGTAGTCCCAGTCGTTTGGTAGGCTGAGGCAGGAGGATCACTTGAGCCCAAGAATTCAAGGCTTTGGTAGGTAGTGATCATGCTACTGCACTCCAGCCTGGGCAACAGAGTGAAACTCTGTCTCAAAAAAACAAAACAAAACAAAATTTAATCTCAGACAATGAAATATAAGATCTGTATTTTGATGTTTTACTGATGATCAATTCAAAATATTTCCTTCTTAAATGTCCCTAATTATGATAGGTACACACATACAGAGCAAAACAAAAAAACACTAACAGTTAGTTGATCCTCTTTTTTGAGGTGTGTACTCTCTAGCTGACAATATTATTATTTTTTGTCTATGCTGCTCATTTATGTAATTTAGTTCCTACTTACAGTAAAACCATAGGAGTAGAAAATCGGGGGCAAACAAACTGCTAACATTTCTTTCCTCACTCTTTTTTTTTTTTTTGAGTTGGAGTCTCACTCTGTTGCCCAGGCTGGAGTGCAGTGGCCGCTCCCTGCCACTGCAGCCTCGACCTGCTGGGCTCCGGCGATCCTTCCGCCTCAGCCTTCCAAGTAGTCGGAATTACAGGCATGCGCTACCATGCCTGGCTGATTTTTTTTTTATTTATTGTAGAGATGAGGTCTCACTGCCCAGGCGGGTCTCGAACCCACGGGCTCAGGAAATCCACTCACCTCAGCCTCCCAAAGGCGCGGGATTACAGGTTGAGCCACTGAGCCCAGCTACTCTTTTTTTTTAAATGGAAACATCTAACAGAGTCAGTTGTAAACTACAAAAACAATTTTGTCTGAAGTACACGACTACAGTGAATATTTACACACAACAGAATCTATATAAACATTGTCGAATAAATGTCAGTGAGGTCACAAGTCATGTTTAATTATGTGCCTAATTTAAAAACTTTTATTGAATCCATCATTTCAATAAAAATAAAATAAAAATACATAGCTATTATAACAACAGAATTAATATTATAGCTTATTTTCTTTTTGAGTTGGCGTGTCACCCTGGCTGGTGTGCAGTGGCACCATCTTGGCTCACTGCAGTCTTGAACTCCTGGGCTCAAGGGATCCTCCTGCCTCAGAGTCCTGAGTAGTTGGGACTTCAGGTGTGTGCCACCATGCCTGGCTATTTTTTTAATTTTTTGTAGAGATAGGGTATGGCTGTGTTGCCAAGCTGGTCTCCAACTCCTGGACTCAAGTGATCCTTTTGTGCTGGCCTTCCAAAGTATTTGGATTACAGGCATGTACCACCATGCCTGGCTTAGCTGATTCTGACTGATGCATATTTATAGTTTACGAGAGACTAAAACATCATATGCTATATTTAATTTTTACAAGCCTTTTAAACATTAACAATTATGAATTTCACCTGAGACCCAATCTCTACCACTACACAATATATGTCCATGTAACAACATGCAAGTGTACCCTTTGAAGCTAAACCTTTTTAAAATTTTTTTCTAAATTTCCTACTAGTCTACATGGAAAGAATACAAGAGTTCTAGCTTTATCATGAGAATTAAGTGGGCCATGTTTTTAAGATACCCTGGGAACTGTAAATGATGGTACACATATCATCACTACTATTACTGGGTCATAAATACATAACATACAACAGGTGATTCTACTACTTACAAAGTGATTTAGGAAGCTTACTATAATCTATGTGCTACTTGACTCTTTTGTCTATAAAATTTTCTATCAATTAAAATTGATTTATAAACTGTAGTGTAAATTTTATCTTTATGCTTATCATTTTAATAGTTATATGATTTTCTACTATAATAAACTATATTTTACAGAATGATTTTCTATTTGGCATTTCAGAAAATTCATTTAGGTTCTATACAGTTTTCTATATATTTGGCACAAATAACAAAATTATAATTATAAAGGCAAAATTTATTTTTTTTTAGTAGGGGTCTCACTCTGTTGCCCAGGCTGGAGTGCAGTGGCACACTCATGGACACCGCAACCTCGATCTGCTGGGCTCAGGTGATCCTTCAGTCTCAGCCTTCCAAGTAGCTGGAACTACAGGCATGTGCCATCATGCCCAGCTAATTTTTTGATTCATTGCAGAGACGAGGTCTTGCTAAGAGGTCTTGCTGGTCTCAAACCCCTGGGCTCAGACAGTCCTTTCACCTCTACCTCCCAAAGTGTTGGAAATTACAGGCGTGAGACCTGTGCCTGGCCTCTTTTTCTGAGCATTTAAGTGTACATATATATGAAGGGGGACCCAAAAAAAGGGAATTATTTTTTGGAAGGCGGGCCCCTCATAGTGCAGGCTTCCCCCACTAGGTAAGTGTTCTAGGAACCCATCAGCTTCAGTGTACCAGCATTGATGTAAGAGGAAGCGTTCTGCTTCAGTGAAAATTTTTTTGGAGATTTTTTTCAATGCATTTGCCTATTTCATGATGGGTGATTTACGAGTGCACTTGCCCACACCACACTGTGTTCTGCAGTTCTTGACTGAAAATGGCATGACCCCCATGTTCTTCCACCCTCCCTATTTACCCGATATCACCACAAGTGACTTTTTGTTTCCCTGAGTGAAAAAAGTCCTCAATGGGAACTGTTTTGTCAGTGTGAAAGAGGTGAAATAAAAAAAAAAACAGTAGAAGCACTAAAAAGTGTCAAAATTGACGAGTTCAAAAACTGTTTTGAGCAGTGAAAAAAGTGTCTTGATAGGTGTACTGCATCAAATGGAGAGTACTTTGAAGGTGACTGAAGTTTAAACATGTAAGAATAAATTTTTTGTAAATAAATTCTGTGTTTTCGGGGGGTCCCTCATCATATTTTTCAAAGTGGCATTACTAAGAAAATGCTGAGCTTATTTAAATCCTCACAATACTTTCATGAGGTAGTTGCTATCCCCACGTTGAAGTTGAGATACCTGGGATTTACAGAAACCAAACAATCTGTCCAACACCATATAACTAGAAAGTGACAGCACTGGGATTCTGCCTAACTAACGCCTTTCCCGCTATACTATCCCATCTTTATATTATCGATAATGATATTGATAGAATGACCTCCCACCTCTTTTTTGTGGTAATCCTTTGGAGTTTAGAAGAGTTTTAGGACTAAAAAGAAATTTTTCTTAATGCAGCAAGTAACTAAACTACCAACAGAATTGTTAGAAATACATTTTCCAACCTCACAACAGCTGTGTGAGCAAGGCCGAAGTATTATAAACTTTCTGTTATAGAAGGAGGAACTGAACCTCAGAGAGACTAGGTAATTTTGCCAAGGTCACACAGCTAGCAGATGATAAGCCAAAAGTGAAATTCAGTTCCAGTGTTCTTCAAATTATATCATGCTGTTATGTAGGAAACAAAGCATTAAGATATATTCACAGAAAATTTTAAAAATTAAAGACACCAGATTTGTGTGGTAAAAGGTAGATTCATAAGCATTTGAGATTGACATCACAGAGGTTAACAATTTCCTCCAATATTAAATCATCCCTTGTTGCTATGGCCAGAGACAAACTATCACACTGGATGGGCCCGTGTAGAACTTCTTTCATTTATGCTCTTATTCAGGAGATCTAAATATATTATCAAATCTCTTAGGTTCTACTATTTTTCTTTGGTTTATGTGGTTTAAATGTAAGTACTTCACTGTTTAATAATAGATAAGCAAAGAAAAATTTTAAAAGCTAAAAATCAGCCAGTAAGAGTTTGTTACTTTATATGGTAAAGATATGAGGTGAGGAAAGATCTACAGTCAGGACTGCAAACAAGTTATACTACAAAGTAAGACAACTTATATTAATGTTCCTGTTTTGATTACTCTTTACCTGTATGGTAGGTAAATCTTTACATAAGATCACAATTATATTGAATAGCAATTTCTTCAACTCAAAATCTTCATGGGAATTAGAAAGCTTAAGTCCTTTTACCAAAGGATTTAGACTTTTAACTGTGAGGGGAAAAAAAAGGAGTAAAATGAAAGCTGAAATGACATACAGACTCATCAAGATAAATGTAAGAAGTTATGAATTTTACCTTCACTAAAGGTTGCAAATAGTATCAAATCCTTGGTAAAGCCACATTCCTATTATAAATACATAAAACAAACAGAAGGATGAATTAATCAGATGAAAGTTAAGATACAATTACCTATATTTACTTACTACTTAAGTACATTTATCAAATTCCCCTATTATTCATTTGAATTCATAAAGCATTAAAAATAGTAAGAGTTGAAGCAAAATAAAACCCAACAAAAACAAAATAAAAGCATATAGCCAGAAAAACTTGTAATTTATTCAATTTTAAATTTACTGTTGTAGGTTCTAAAAATATCTTACATGATTCTATGTATATTTTAAAAGATACTGCTTAAAAATTGATAAGAACCCCAAACATATTAGATCTTTATAGTTACTTCTATAATTCATTATTTATACCTTCAAGTGACACAATAAGGAGGTAAAATTCAGTTATTTACAACAGCTTTTCTTCTTAAACATCCCCACTCCTACCCCAGTCATTCTAATTATGTCAAATGTTTGGTCAAGAGATATAACAAAATAGTTCCTACTTAACATGAAAAGCCCTGAAGAATTACTAGAGTTGCAATTGTTTTAGCATGAGGGAACTCCTTCCTGACAGATATTCTAGCTGGACTTTGAACATTAGGGAGTGTTTAGAGGGGCAAACCCTGGGATTCCTATAATTTTAGGATTCATATGGTTTTTTAAATGATGAAGATGTTATTCTTTTGGCTCACATTCATGAAATTTATCTGAATGTTTGCAAGGACAGTGATGAGAACTTACTAACTGACCAGGGGCTTCCAAAGAAACACAAAGGTCCACCTATAAATTGCAGCCTTAACTAGGATGCCATGTAGGACTGTTTCCCTATTTGCACAGTATGAATTCCATCACTCTTATGTTTGGACAACTTGATGCCCACTGATAGAGGGTTGAGGCCTTCACAGCCAGTTCTTTGAAGCACAACTAGAAAGTATGTATTTTATGGTATGTATTTTATGACTTGTAAATATTGTTGCAAAAGATCTCTATTCCAGAATTTCAAGCGATGCTTTTTACAATATAAAATATGAGGAGGCTAAGCTTCTGGTATGGATCAGTAGCTTTTATAAGATAAATCCTCCTGCTGGTAACAATGATAAACTCAGAACAAAATCTAAAACAACCACCTTGTGACTAAGAGTAAGTAGACACTGGAAGGAAATCAGGATTCTGAAGAAGGCAATGGTGTTAAGTGAGTTTCCCATTATTTATTTAATGGCTTTTGGTTTGAGAGCAGGCCATATTCTGCACCTTGTAGAGATACTAAAACTCAAGAGTAACACTGTGGTCTAAAGAACTAGCGGACAGAGGCAACCACAGACACTGGAAAGTCAAGGGAGAAACCCCCTAACAGAGAGAGTCAGAGAGTGGGAACACCAAATTTTATGTATAAACTCTTCAAATTTCTAGCTATTGCTTGAACCACAAAAGTGCAGAAAATACTCAGGCATCCCAGGTAAGAAGAATTGAATTGAGCTGGACTTCCATCCACCACAGGGATGAGTATAGCCAAGTTAAATACATGTTAATTTAGAAAATACTCTTGAGAGGAGCAAGCCAGAATCTACAGAAAAGATACTTATAATGAATGGAAAGATAAGAACTTTCAGTATAGAATCAGACACCATAAAAATAAATCAAAAATATATTCTAAAACTAAAAAAAAAGGAAATAAATATATACTGACGGAATTGACAGCAGAATGGAGATGACAGAAATAGTCAGTGTATTTAAATATATAGACTAATACAAATGATCCAGTCTAAAAAATATAGAGAAAAATAATTGAAAAAAATGACAGAACCTCACAAATCTATGAAACAATATTAAGAAATAAAACATAAGTAAACAGAGTCCTAGAAGGAAAAGGGAAAGAGAACTTGAGGAAGTTACGGCCAAAAATTCTCCAAATTGGGTTTGAGACTTTAAAAAAATATTCTTCATGTTTTAGTTTTTAAAAATGTTCTTCATGTTTTAATTCTTTTTCTATGAAGGTTAAGCAGAATAAATACAAAGGAGATAATACCTTGGCACATCCAACAAAAGCTGCCAAACACCAACGATAGAGTAAAAATCCTGAAAATAGCCAGAGTAAAAAAGATGATACATTGTATACAAGGGAACAATGATTTGAAATAATAATAGAGGCCAGAAGACAATGGACTGTGCCAAAAGAAAAGACAGTGCTAAAAGAAAAATGCTGAAAGAAAATTTTTTTCAGCCTTGAGTTCAGTATTCAGTGAACATACATTTAAAGAGTTAAGATGAACTAAAGTTATTTTCAGAGAAAAGTAAACTGAGAGAATTTGTTGCTACAGCCAAAAGCTCTACACCACAAGAAATAGTAAAGTTCTTCTAGTGAAAGAGAAAAGATGCCAAATGGAAACTTGGCTCATTTGGAAGGAGGGGAAAACATTACAGGTAGCAAATATGAATGTAAATCATAAAATATGAAGAGAGATGATGCCAGATGGAAACTTGAATCATTAGGAAGGAGAGAAATACATTACAAGTGGTAAATATACATGCAAATCATAAACTATGAGAAGGACTCCATATTTCCAAAGGAATGCAAAGAAGAATTGGCAGTGTATAAGTATACTGATGACCATTATGATATTACATCATAACTTGGCATTACAACAAAATACATAATAAATATTACAACACCCACCAATTCCACAATTTAAATGAATGCAATTTGATTAATACTTACAATCATTGGTGCACTATGATTTTGAGCTATAACTGTAGTGATCACTAATATATCATTTCTAAGCTGATGATCATAATGACTAAAACCTCTCACAAACAGGTTTTTAAATACTTCCTTCAAAGTCCTAGAAAGTAAAAACCATATTGTTATGGATTGAATGCTTGTGTCATACGTTGAAATCCTAACCCCCAATGTGATGGTATTAGGAAGGGATCAGAAGGTCAAGATGGAACACTTGTGAATGGGATTAGTGCCCTTAAGAAGGTATCTCCATGAGCTCTCTTTTCTCCATGTGAGAACATGAAAAGTCAGTAGTCTGCAGTCCAAATGAGTACCCTCACCAGAACCCAACAATCCCGGCACCATGATATCAGACTTCTAACCCTCAAAGCTGCGAGAAACAACTCTCTGTTGTTTATAAGCCACCCAGTTTATGGTACTTTGTTATAGCAGTGCAAACTAAAGCACACACATCCATGGAAATACTACTTAAGTGTCTACCAACCAACTCTCCCTTTTAAAATTATATTATTCATTTGAAAGTATTCGTAATCTTTCCTACACCTCCAAATCTGCCTCTCACTATGTACTTGATAAGAATTCACTAAACCAGTCTACACATAGTGGTCAAAGAGAGCACTCTAAAATAAATAATTCAATCATGTCATTTTTCTTTTTAAGCTATTTAAATAATATTCTTTGTTCTCAGAATAAACTCCTACCTTTCTAAGAAGGCTTATCAGGTCTTTCATGTTACGGTCCCTGCTAACATTGTTAGCCTCATCTCTCACTATTCTACCCTGTTCTTTTTGCTCTCATCATACTGAAATTCAGTTTTTTAATTTTGCTAAATTCTATTTTCACTTCTGTTCCCCCATCTAGGATACTCTCTGCATGTAAAACCTTTCTATGTTGCATTCCCACTTATCATTCAGATACTAGATTAGGGTTCACTAGGAAGCAGTTCTTAACTCTCCGAATCTAGATTAGATTCCCTCTACAGTAGACACTTGTAGCTTTGCCTCCTGAGGCCCACTTGCCCTTTTTATGATAACAGCGCCCTTATTTGTACTGAGGCATTCACTCCTTCCCAAATTCGTGTCTTGTGAGACTGCCTTCAGCTGCCTTTTCACCAGTCAGAGCATTCTTTCCTCTGACATTAATAATTCACTCTGGAATGGGCATCTGACCAACATCAGAACATTTGGGGCCAAAAGAGACAAAATTCAAAAACTTTTCTTTGAGCTTTCAGGATATCAAGGCTTCTCCTCTGCTTGATGATGTGAATATCCTTAGGTCTCACTAAATGAAACCTATAGGGTAGAAGACAGTGCAGAGAGATGAAGAAAGGACCCACTCCTAATATTTGTTGAGCTTTGAATAAAGCTGCACATGAAGCCAGTTTTATGGTTGACTTTGTAATTACATGCACCCATACATTTTCCGTATGCTTAATTCAGTTGGGTTGAGCTTGCAGTCATTTGCAAACAAAAATGTACTACTTCATCTTTTTCTGAAGAACATGTAGCATTTCTCCATATTCTCTTTAATAATATTTCGTATATTCCCTTTTGATTGCCTATTTACTTGTCCATCTATCCTAGTATAATATACATTCTATTAAAGTAGAGACCATGCCTGTAGTTTTCAGTTGTATTTCTATGGCTTAGTACTAACCCTGACACAAAGCAGATGATAATTATTCATTGAAAAAGTGAATCAGTAATTTAGGCTTATTCACATTTCATTGCTAATGCTTACTGCAATATCTGGAAGATAGTAAGCACTAGATAATAGAGTTGCTAAATGAATAAATAAAATTGTTCTTCTAATGTCTAATTTTACTTTCTATATTGTATTTGAGGGCATAATTTGGGTTTTTTTTTTTTTTGAGTTGGAGGCTCGAGTGCAGTAGTATGCTCACAGCCACTGCAGCCTTGACTTGCTGGGCTCAGGCGATCCTCCCACGTTAGCCTTCCAAGTATGTGGAACTACAGGCATGTGCCACAATGCCCGGCTAATTTTTTGATTTTGTAAAGATGAGGTCGCACCAAGTTGCCCAGGCTGGTCTCGAACCCCTGGGCTCAGGCAATCCTCTCGCCTCAGCCTCCCAAAGTGCTGGGATTACAGGTATGAGCCACTGTGCCTGGCTAATTTAGTCTTAACAAGCCACTTTAAGAGCTTGTTAGAAAAGCATGGCTTGTTATATGCAAATTAATTTATACCATGGCACAAAAAAAGATGTCCCAAAACACAGCCATTACATAAATCAAAAGCCCAACTAAGCAAAGATTCAAACAAAGGTGGTAATTATGCCACTATCATTTTAAGGCTAAATGACAGTCCTATCTAACCACATATACTCACAACAAACATTCCAAGTTACTAAGCTGTTGAACAATTTCTTCTTTTGAAGATTTTTCCAATAAGTTCCAAAGTATTTCTGATGAACGAAACAGAAGCTGTCCTGAAGGATCTGGGTCATTGAGGTGAACACAGATTCCACTGGCTGCTTGTGCTTTCATCATTAAAGTACAATTAACTTCTGAAAATAGATTTTTAAAAGTATTTTTTATAATACTGACCTTATTAAAAGGAAACAAAAAATAGCTGACAATGAAGTGTTCAAACTTAGTAATATTATACAAACCAGAAGTCGAGAGATGCTGTAGAACTTTAAGTACCCAAAGTTTCTCAACAAGTTGATTTTCAAGCAAGGTCATTGACTGGACCATTGTTTTTGCCAGTCCTCCAACTTCAGCCATTTGAATCTTGTATGATGAACTAGCTTGCTGGTAACCTATCAACAATTAGTTAATTAATATATACAATTATCTCACAAAATTATTGTTAAGACAAAGGAATTAGTAATTTATTTTTTAATTTAAAAAAAAATTTTAAAGTAGAGACAGAGTCTTGCTATGTTGGTCAGGCTTGTCTTGATCTCCTGGGCTCAGGTAATCCTCCCAGCTTGGCCTCCCAAGGTGTTGGGAATACATTTGTGAGCCACTATATTGACCAAGAATGAGTAAATTACCATTAAGCAACAACAACAAAGCTTTTTAAAAGCTCAGCCTATAATCCCGTGCCTTTGGGAGGCTGAGGTGAGTAGATTGCCTGAGCCCGCAGGTTTGAGCCGGCCTGGGCAGCGAGACCTCATCTCTACAATAAATAAAAAAATCAGCCGGGTGTGGTAGCGCATGCCTGTAATTCCGGCTACTTGGAAGGCTGAGGCAGAAGGATCACCGGAACCCAGCAGGTCGAGGCTGCGGTGGCCGGGAGCGGCCACTACACTTCAGTCTGGGCGACAGAGTGAGACTCCAACTCAAAAAAAAAAAAAAAATGTATGACATCTAAGAATTGTATAACTTAGGAATGTGCAAGCTTTTTCTGTAAAGGGCTAGGTGGTACTTTAAGCTTTGCAGTTATATGGTTTCTTTCAAATTAGTCAACTCTATAGAACACTGTAGCATGATGTAGCTAGAAAGCAGCCATAAATGATATAAAAATAAACAGGGATGGCTATATTCCAACAAAACTTTATTTGCAGTGGGCCAATATTGGTCTGGGGTCCTGGGGTCCATAGTTTGCTGATCCCTAGAGTAGCATTTAAAATGTGACCACAACTTTGGTGACACATTAAATTCTAAAAAAGAACAATATTTCTTACTTGTCAGTAGATATGACTTTCTTTTTTTTAATTTTTAAAAATTATTTATTTATTTTTTATATTTACCTGAACAGGTAGATACAACTTTCTATAAAGGAAAATGATATGACCACAAATACTGAATGATTTCACTATTCAGGTCAATAAACTACTTCAGCGCTTTCAAGGGCAACAGTTATGTGGTGTAGCAATAAAATACGAGGTGAAAAGTATACTCTCGTAAGTTTAATGGTAATAGTAAGTTTAATAGTAAGTTTAGTGGTACTTTAAGGAAGTTTGATTCTTGGGGCTATGGCTTGTAAGAATTTCATTCTGCCTCAGTGCCTGTGAGAAACACTGCCTTTTTTTGGACGCAGGTGCACAGGTGCCTGACTAACTACATTCAATGAGAGGGATAAAATAAACACCAAAGGGTACTTGTTTAACTAAGAGGAGGTTATTTTTCTCTTAGAAAAAACTCTAACTACCTGACTTCTTTCCTTTTTGACAATTAGATTCCTTAACTTTGTCCTAGTTTTGAGATGTATGACAGTTCATCTTCCTAAATTTGATTTCTGGCTATGGACAAGGCTCTGTCCAATCCTGTGATGAATTCTTTATGACAGTGGTCCCCAAACTTTCTGGCATCAGGGACCAGTTTCATGGAAGACAATTTTTCCATAGACTGGAAGGAGGTGGAAGGGGATGTGCAGTCAAATCTTACTGCTAACATTAGTCTGTATTTGGAGTTACCCCCAGCGCTAGCATCACTGCCTCAGTTCCACCTCAGATCACCAGGCACTAGATTCTCATTAGGAGTGCACAACCTAGATCCCTTGCATGTGCTGTTCACAATAGGGTTCACAATCTTATAGGAATCGAATGCCGCCACTGATGTGACAAAAGACAGAGCCAGAAGTAATGTGAATGATGAGGAGAACTGTCAATACAGGTGAAGCTTTGCTTTCTGGCCTGCCATTCACCTCCTGCTGTGCGGCCCAGTTCCTAATAGGCAACACTGGGGACCCCTGCTCCATAGTATGCCTTAGCCCACTATGGATTTTAAAAGGCATTTAAAAAGTACAAAGAGAAAGACAAAAATTGCCTATAATTTCACCATCTAGAGATAACAATATTAACATTTTGGTATATTTATTTTTTATTACGTATTTATTCCTTTTTTCTTTTCTTTTTTCCTTCTCTTTTTTTCTTTTTTAAAGAGACAAGGTCTCACTATATTGCCTGGGCTGGAGTCAAACTCCTGGACTCAAGCGATCTTCCTACCACAGCCTCCTGAATAGGTGGGAATACATTCATGCACCAACATGCCTAGCTCTATTTTTTTGACTGATATTTTTAATGTATACATACAATTTTAACAACATACTAGTTTATAAGATTTTGCAATCTACTGTACTAAAATGTTTATTGTAAGCTGTTTCCATTCTATAACATTTTCCAAAATCACAATTTTTATTTGCATAATAATCTATCATATGGATGGGCCATATGTACTTTATATTTGTATTTTTTTAATGAGAGTACATCTCTATAGAAGGTTACAGTACTATTAAGGGTCAAAAACTTGATGACTGTTTCCAGAACTATGTCTCTTCCAACTCCTCTGCTGAGGATTTTTAAGCTGTGATACCAGATATCTAGCCATGTTCATCACTTAAAACCAACTGTATAACAGTTAGTGAAACCACTGACTCTTAATTTTTAGAACTTGGTCAAATTAAGGTCAGCCTCACTTACTTGAACCACAATATTCTCTCTCTGGTCTTAAGTCATATACCATTTGTCTCCCTTTCTCTGAAGCACACCTGTATTTTGCCAAGGTTCACGCTAAGTGTGTAATCTTAATTCCATCTTCTTGTGCTTTGAGAATTTTGAATTCCCATCTCCTGTTTCTCAGCTTCCAACTCCTCCTCCTACAAGCATTTCTTCCTATCCTAAAAACAACAAAATCCAAATAACCTTTCTTTGGCTTTGCTACCAGTTGAGTTGTTCTCCATCTCCCTTCTTTCTCTTCACCATTTAATCTTAAAATATAAGTCTGCATAACAATACTATACTGTACCATATATAAATATATATGCATGCACATATATGTCTACATTCATGAACTGCCTCTATTCCCTCTCTCTCAAACCTCTACTCTCTCAAGCCTCTTCTCTCCAATATACTTATTTAATCTTGCATTTGCCCTGATGACTTTTTGTTAATAGAGCTATCAAAGATTAACTACAACTTTTCAAATGTCACATTAACTTGGTCTTTTCATTACTCAATTCAGAAGCCTCTGCAGCATTTGACACAGGGACTATTTTGTCTTCCTCTGCCAAACATTTCATTGATTGGTACAAGAGACAAGGCAGTGTTTAGCTTTCTTCCTCCTCTTTGAATCTCCCTTTACTGCCAATTTCCTCTCTCTCTCTCTCTCACCCAGATTAGAGTACAGTGTCACCATCATGGCTCACTGCAGCCTAAAACTCCTGGGCTCCTAAGTAGCTGGGACTACAGGTGTGTGTCACTATGTCCAGCTAATTTGTTTTTTTTTACTTTTTGTAAAGACAAGACCTTGCTATGTTGCCCTGGCTGGTCTCTAGCTCCTGGGCTCAAGTGATCCTCCTGCCTTGTTCTCCCAAAGTGCTGAGATTACAGGCATGAGCCACCATGCCAGGCCAACTGCCAGTTTCTTTACATAATGTTTTTCAAACCTTAGTACCTCCATGATGCCGTTCTTGGTCCCTTGTTGTTTATGTGCTTTATCTTCTGGCAAACTCAATTATTCTAATAACTTCACTTAGAAAAAAATTTTTTGAGACAAGGTCTTGCTCTGTCATCTAGGCTGTAGTGCAGTGGTATGGTCATAGCTCACTGCAGCCTTAAATTCCTGGGTCAAGTGATGCTCCCATCTTGGTCTCCCAAACCGCTAGGATTACAGGTGTGAACCATCATGCCTAGCCCCAATTTTCATCTCTATTTGGGTAAATTTCTGGTCCCTTCTGTTTTTAGTATCCAGTATGTATTATCTACCAAACATTTTCATCTTTCCATCTCATCAGGAGTCAAAATTTGACATTTTAATTATCTATCTATCTATCTATCTATCTATCTATCTATCTATCTATCTAAGGGATGAGGTCTTGCTATGCTGCCCAGGCTGGTCTTAAACTCCTAGTCTCAAGGGATTCTCAAGGAATTCTCCTGCCACAGTCAAATTTGGGATTTATTAAACTCCTTACTCATTTCTTTAGTTTAATGTCATCCCATTGGACTATAGTCATAAATAACCTTTCATTCGAACTACCATGGTCTCTTACTTCCTAGGGAAAATATAACTTAATAACTCTATTATTTATCTTTTCTCTCTTCCTAGATTGATTATAAATTACAAAAACTGTGAAGGTAGGGAGTATGTCTTAAAAAACATTATATCTTCACAGTACAGGTGCCCCCGTCTTGGAACCACCCATTTCAGTGGTTCATTTTACCATTATATATTAAGACCCTTAGTTGTGACATATAGAACTCTTTTCCCAAACATGATGGAGAATAGCATCAGCATTAGTAACTTAACATCTAACTGGGTGGGATAGATATTATGAGTAATTATAAAATATGTTAGAAAATAATGTTATAAGCAGCATTAAATAATAGTAATAATTATAATTAAAATAATTTGGGTGTAACTTTACAAATTGTGTCATGAATATTTAGCATCAAAATAAAAACATGCAAATTCAAGACAAATACATATATACAAATTTTTAAGATAATCGAAGAGCTCAAGACTACAAAAGAATTTTCTTTCAATGTGCTACATTTATGAGCTCACTGTCGCCTTAAAATTCAAAGACAAATGAGAATTTTCTATTTTCTAAATACACAAGTTATTACCAAATTTGTAAACTTCACCTGGAATATGCTTCTTTGGTGGTTCTGCATGATAAAAGTCAACAATACACTTACAAATTTGTATCCTCAATTCAGAACTTGGTATTTTCATTAAGTCACCTACCAGAAAGATAAATAAGTCCTTTTAATAACACTGCAATAAGCTTATTTGCAAAATTTGAGCATAAAATATTAATAATATGATGATTCTCAAAAAATATTCTCAGAGATTCAAACTGGATTGTAATTATATATATATATTTGCATATACATGCACACACATATATACATATATGTATACACAGTACATGAATCTGTCCTTATATATTTAGCCTCTCAATCAATTCAGTCTTTACTTTCTAGAAAGAAAAGAATGATAACTAATAACATAAATGCTGGAGCTAATATGTCTAAGATAAAACCCTGGCTCTGTCATTTACTAACTGTAGAAACTTGTATCTTAATTTTCTCGTCTATAAAACAGGTTTAACAGAAGTTAATACATTGAAGATAATTGTGAGGAATAAATGAGTTAATATGAGTGAAGAACTGAGAGCAGTGTCTAGCTTATAGTAAATTCTACATAACTCAAATACTATTATTATTTTGGCAAGATATGAGTTAGCATTTTTCTCCCTAACTAGAGAGTCAGTAATTTGCTGTCTTTAATAATGCATTCTTTGCTTAGAGATGTTCCAGGTGGTTTTGCTCTTCAATTTGCTGGCATACTAGAGGAGAGTGAGTTTTCAGTATTTTCCCTATCGGTAAAGGTAATAGTTTTATGTTCAGGTTATCAGGGTGGAATCTGGGAATAGACAGGGCTCCTTTTCAGTCATATCTGAATTGGCTTCAGCCTGCATTTCAAACTGGATTGTATCTACTCTGTTGAAGTCTTACAGGTATGATCCCAGGGGCATCTAAAAATTATTGATCTGTGGGACTCTAGAAATGATCTGTGTTCTGTACCAGCTTTGGGACTGAACCATATCTGGCTGGTTTCTCTGGGAGTAAAGGAATAGTTAGGTATTGCTCCATGCCTTGGGTCTTGCACAGTGTTCAAGAGTGTTCAATATTCTGGAGGTGGTCAGTAACTATAGAGAAGCAAGTACACAGGAGGAAGCACAAAGGAGAACGTGACCCTGGCCTTAGGAGAGTCTATTCACAAAAGACACAAAGAAAGACAGCTTTAAGAGTATTCTCTCAATTTAATGTTTTTGGACCCTTCTTTTGGAGTTAGGTCTTAAAAACTTTAGGCAACAGGAACAACTAAATTTTTCCAGCAAAACTAAATATGCTTTTATGGGAAATTCTAGGGTTTCTCATCTATTTCTTCACCCTTTTAATTTCTGTAAGTTTAGATAATGTCTCATAGTTTCCTGTTTTGTAATCTCAGGGCAGAATACCAACTTCTTCCCTCATCTATTTCCAGAATTCAGTTCCTGAGTTAGAAATATCTATGTATCATTTGGAAGAAAACATAACTTACCAGTATAGGGTAGAAACTAGAAGTTATTAGTGAAAATCAGAAATAACCTTTGTTCAGCACTTCATACCACATACGATGATTTCAGTTTTAACTCATGTTTCCAGCAATTAAAAAAATTAAGGGACAGAATAGCAGTACTTGCAGTTAGTTTTCTGTGAAGGAAGCTCATTTAAAGCTAAGGGCTCATATTACCTTCATATGAGACAGTGATACATCCTGTAGGTAGGTGACCAGTCATTAAAGCAAAGAGCAGGCCGACATTTGGTAAGAAGTGGGCTATGTATTTATAATACAAATGTGTGTCAACACTCTTAGGGACAACATTTAAAAATAATAAAAGCAACAGGGACATTTAAAAAATAATGTTACCAACAAAAACTACAATTTTTTCTATTAATACTATCATGTCCTTCTCTGGGTTGGCTTCCCACTGCAAATTTTCACTGATGATAGAGATTCAAGAATTAAGATTTCCCATCATGTCTCAACTTGCCTGCTTCCTAAGGTGGTGGTCTTTAACTACCCATGTTTAATCTATTCTTCATGATTCCTTCGCCTACTCTAGGCTATGGATTCTGGGTAGTTTTCTCAAAGTAACTACAATTAAAGACTATAAAATTTATTTAGGCCCAGCACAGTGGCTCATGCCTGTAATCCCAGCGTTTTGGGAGGCTGAGGCAGAAGGATTGCTTGAGCCCAGGTTTTCGAGACTAGTAACATGGCATATCCTGTCTCAACAAAAACATTAGCCAGGCATGATTTGTGCCTGTAGTCCCAGTTACTTGGGAGGCTGAGGTGGAAGGAGGTTTAGGTTGCAGTGAGCCGTGATCATGTCATTGCACTCCAGTCTAGGTGACAGAGTGAGACCCCAATTCAAGCAAAAACAAAAACAAAAAAAAAACCTTATTTAGATATATAAGGGTTAGTGTCTATGCTAAAAATAAAAATGCACCAGGTGTGGTGGCTCACGTCTATAATTCCAGAACTTTGGGAGGTAGCGGCGAGAGGATTACCTGAGCTGAAGGGCTTGAGATTAGCCCGGGGAACATGGCAAGACCTCATCTCTACAATAAATAAAAAATTAGCCGGGCATGGTGGCACATGCCTGTAGTTCCAGCTACTTGGAAGGCTGAGGTGAAAGGACCACCTAAGTCCAGCAGGTTGAGAATGCAGTGGTCATGAATGTACCACTGTACTCCATTCTGGGTGAAACAGTGAGACTCCAACTCAAAAAAAAAGAAAAGAAAAAAAAGCTTTTTTATTCATTTCAGTTGAACCACTAATATCTTTCTGTATGAAGTATAATGTTGGAAATCTAACTATTCAGTAAAACTGTTTTTAATTTATTGGATCAATTGTATATCTTTTATTTCTCCTGTAAATATAAAGATCTAAATTAATAAGTATAAATTTAATGTAAGATTTGTTTGGGGAATATGCTGTCATGTCTCAGGCGTTGACTCAAAGAGCTAGTATTTCACTGATCCCATTTTCTTTTTTGTTTGAGGCAGGATTTTACTCTGCTGCCTAGGCTGGAGTACAGTGGCTTGATCACGGCTCACTGCGGCCTCCAACTCCTGGGCTCAAGTGAACTTCTGCATTATCAGCCTCCCAAGTAGCTGGGACTATAGACATAAGTCACCGCACCCGACTATCACTGATCTCATTTTCTAGGAAACTATTTTCTTTCTCTAGAAAATCAAGCAACAACCCAGATATAAATGCCTACTCTTTTATAATACATTTCATATTTTTATGTACAAAGTACTGGCATCTGCATCTTTATGTGCATTAAGCTGTAGTTCTAAATATTCTACTATTTATGATTTTATTTAACATTTAAGAACATTTAAAGAAAAATTAGGTGATCAATGATTCTAGCAATTAAGTATTAGCATTCAAAGTTGAAAATACTTTTGTGGTTACTAAAAGAGGGGGATATATACTTTCTGATTTACAAAAAAAGTTAACAAACATTTCATTAGACTAAATAATATCAAGTCAAACAAAGAAGTATCTACCAGCCCTTGCATTTAAAAAACAACTATTATTGGTATCATGAAACACCTGAGCAGAAAATAAGAATTATCACCAAGAATTATCACCAAGCACATTACGGTTAATTTCCAACTTGAACATAAGGAAAGATACGAGATATGGAGAAGTACTGTTAGTGAAACTTTTTTTCTATAGTAAAAATAGACATTTTCTTCTTGTCTGTAGGCCCTGTCATATGTCACACCCCTCTACCTTAAGGATATCTAAACTTACCCAAAAGAGCAATTGAATTAGCAGTATCTTCAGCATAAGTTATTTCATCCGATACTTTCTTTTTCAGAAATGGCAAGCTTCAATAAGAATGAAGAATGTAAGAGTAATTTTTAATAAAGTCCTTGATTGAAACATCATTTGTAAAATGAAGAGAATTTCCTTTCTAAAGATAAAATGAGCTGGGCATGGTGGCTCACACCTGTAATCCAAATACTTTGGGAGGCTAGAGGACTGCCTGAGCCCAAGGGTTCAAGACCAGCCTGGGCAACTTAGTGAGACTTTGCCTCTATAATAAATGAAAAAATTAATTGAGTGTGGTGGTATGTGCCTGTAGTTCCAGCTACTCGGGAGGCTGAGACAGAAGGATTGCCTAAACGCAGCAGGTGAAGGTTGCAGCAGCCGTGAATGTGCCACTGCACTCTAGTCTGGATGACAAAGTAAGACTCTGACTTAAAAACAAAAAGAAAAAGAATAAAATGAGGATATTATCCTATTCTTTAGCCCTGGAGAATTGACAACTATTTTTTTTTTAAGTATTTCTAACTAACTGACTGGAGAGAAAATAAAATAGGTTTACAAAAATGAAGCGAGATGGCTATAAAAAGCATGGGTTAAGAAAGCCATGCTGCATCACTACATAAACAAACAACTTAGGACTCTTTTTTCTCTTTGAGGGCAAAATAATAATGAATTATAGTCATAATTCTGTCAAAGTTAGGAAAACATTGAACAATCTGATATAAAACAAAGATCTAGGCTCACCTATAACTTAAAAACTGTTTAAGGGCTTTTTCTGAGGTTTTTGAAATTCTAGTCAATAGATCAATAGTCTATTTGCTCTTAGAGGTCAGTGCTCTTTTCCTTATTAACTGGGTGAGTTCTAGCCATAACAAAATGCATTTGCAGACACTAAGGAATTCAAGTTAACAAACATTAAATATTAGAAGTGCATTGCTACTGTCACCTAAGTTATTTGAAAATAACTTATTTACAAATCATAAAAAGATCAGGCACACAAAGTTGGATCATTAGTCTAAATTTCAAAGGAGATTATAAAACTTATTTTTAAAATATATGAGTATAAACGATTTTGGCATGTCATGGTTTACATATGCAATCCCAGCAATTTGCAAGGCTGAGGTGGGAAGGTTGCTTGAGCCAAGGAGTTCGAGGCTAGTCTAAGCAAAATAGCAAGTCCTCGTCTATACAAAAAAGGAAGAAAAATTAATTGGACTGGTAGTGCTCTCCTGTAGTCACAGTTACTCAGGAGGTTGAAGTGAAAGGATCACCTGAGCCCAGGAAGTCAAGACTGTGGGGAGCCAAGATTGTGCCACTGCACTCCAGTCTAGGTGACAGAGTGAGACCCTGACTCACAAAAAAAAAAAAAAAAAAATCCAAAACCATTTTGAATTCAAAATTTGAACCTCTTAGGTAATTTAAAGTATATTCCATATATTTAGGACTTTGAATTCACATTTTTCAAGAAAAATTAACCAAATGGTTGAAAATGGCATTGAGAACTATCACATGAGGCTGTAAAATATACAGATCAATTTGAATTTACAGATATTTGGAGGGAAAACTATAAAAAAGGTTACTTTTATTAATGCCACAGAAGTTCATTTCTAGTGTTTGTCAGAATTGGTCATTTGAAACAAATAACTTATTACTTGTTATCCAGCTGACCACTGGATCATTAAAGTGCCAGGCATGGTGGCTCATGCCTAGCACTTTAGGAGGCTAAGGTGGGAGCACTGTTTTAGCCCAGCAGTTCAAGACCAGCCTGGACAACATAGCAAGACCCTGTCTCTACAAAAAATAAAAAATTAGATGGGAATAATAGCATGCACCTCCACCTCCCAGCCACTTGGAGACTGAGGCAGAAGGATGACCTGAACTCAGGTGGTCAAGGCTGTGGTCAGCCATGATTGTGCCACAGCCCTCCAGCCTGAGACAGAGTGAGACCCTGACTGGAAAAAAAAAAAAAGGTGAAGAACTTGAAGAACTCTAAAAACAGTCACTTTTGTCCCCAAACTTTTTTCCTTTTCTACCAAAACAGACAACCTATAAGATAAAGCATCAGAAGAGTTTTCAACCAAAAAGATTATGAAAAAATTAGCATTATACTTCTGATGCAATGTGAAAAAGATATAACTTTAGAGGCCAAAACAGGAAGGTTTGACCTTATTATTTTCAACATTTGGCTCTCCCAAAAATGTCTTAAATAGAGAAACAAGTGAGGGCAAGGTGTAGAGAAATTATTTGGACATAAGTAGAAATCAGCAAAGTAGGAAAAATAATGTGAATATTTATAAAATATGAGGAAAAGTGAAGACTACAGTTCAGCAGACTGTCCTATTATGCAATAAAACACTCAGACATAAGTTTTCACAGAGAGCCAGCTCTGGCAGAGCACTGCAGGAGCACTGATGCTGAAAGCAATGCTTATGAATTCGACTTGCACAGCCTTGAAATTGGCAAGTTTTTTACATAATATAATATCATGTCAATAATTTCCAATTAGTTCCTTGAAAACACTAGAGTAATAATTTGTTTATTTTTCATGATTCCCTATTAAAAAGTATGGCATTTGTCAGGTGCAGTAGCTCATGACTGTAATCCTAGCACTTTGGGAAGCCGAGGCAGGAGAACTGCTTGAGCCCAGGAGTTCAAGACCAGCCTGGGCAACATGGGGAGGCCTTGTCTCTACAAAAGATCAAAAAATTAACCAGGCGTCGTAGTGCATGCCTTAGTCACAGATACTCAGGGAGGCTGAGGTGAGAAGAGCACTTGAGCCCAGAAGGTCAAGGCTGAGGTAAGCCAAGATTGTGTCACTGTACTCTAGCCTGGGTGACAAAGTGAGACATGAGGTAAAAAAAAAAAAAAAAAGTAAAGGCATGCTGCAGGTATTCAACATATTATTTTGATTATTTTATTCAGATATCAAAAAATTAAATGTAAGTGGCTTTAAAATTTTAACTATTACTGCTGCTAAACGTGAGAGTTAGCATCTACCATAGGCTGCGTGCAGTGACTCACACCTGTAATCCCAGCATGTTGGGAGTCCAAGGCAGTAGGATTTTTTTTTTTTTTTTTTTTAAAGACGAGGTCTTGCCAAGTTGCCCAGGCTGGTCTCAAACCCCTGAACTCAGGCAATTTTCTCGCCTCCCCCTCCCAAAGTGCTGGGATTACAAGTGTGAGCCACTGCCCCGGCTAGGAAGATTTCTTGAGGCCAGGAGTTTGAGACCATGATTATACAGTCCCACGAAACCTTTTTACTATTTGTCTATTTTAAAAAATACTATTTACAAAGTTAACTTGGTAGAAAGGTTTAGAAGGTAAAATTGTCAGGAAGACTTATTCCCAATTGAATAAGTCTCCTTTACTATATTATATTGAGCAACTAAAAATGGAGATTTTAATATATACCTAGATTAGCCACTATGTGGCAGCAAAGAAGCACAATATATTCATAGTTCCCAGAACTGGTTGGAGAAACAACAGTAGAGAGGATGAGAGACATTAATTTTATAATTCTTACCACTAATTTATACTTAAAAATATATACCAACCATAATTGGTGATATTTTATTTTTCATTCAAATTTAGAAAATCAAATAAAACATGATACAGAACCTAATATATCTTTTTTTTTTTTTTTTTTTTTGAGTTGGAGTCTCACTCTGTCGCCCAGACTGGAGTGCAGTGGCTGCTCCCGGCCACCACCGCCTCAACCTGCTGGGCTCCGGCGATCCTTCCGCCTCAGCCTTCCGAGTAGCCAGAATTACAGACGTGCGTACCATGCCCAGCTCATTTTGATTTATTGTAGAGATGAGGTCTCGCCAAGTTGACCAGGCGGGTCTTGAACCCGTGGGCTCAGACAATTCACTCACCTCAGCCTCCCAAAGGCACGGGATTACAGGCTGAGCCACCGAGCCCAGCTGAACCTAATATATCTTATAGAGTCAAATTTTCTAAAGACAGAGAAAAAAAAACTAGACCAAACTATAGTTATTATCTACAAATTTACTCAAGGATTCTCTAAAAATACTGCAATTTCGTGTAATATTTCTCATCACTTGAGCGCATTAATTCTATGAAAAGATTTTAGTATACTTAGAATTTAATGTCTTATTGCTAGCAACCAGACTACAATAAAATGGACTACCTTTAAAGTATCAACTGCTGGAATCATATTATCAATGAAAATTTTCTGAGTTCTGTATCACTCTGCTACACTGCAATGCATAATATCTTTGTAATACAAAATAAAACATAATAAAATAGTACAAGTTAATACAAAATAAAGTTAAAGAAAGACAACTTACCCACACAATTTTATGATATCATATGCAGATTCTAAAAAATGAGGCCGGTTTTTAATTTTTCCTGCACACAGATTCAGAATTTTAAATATCTGTGCTAAATCCCTTAAAGGCTTTAATATTTTTGGTTAAGAAACAGAATTAAGATTATTATCTTTATTAACATATTCTGGGTCATGCATGATGGTTCACGCCTATAATCCCAGCACTTTGGGAGGCCCAGGCGGGAGGATTGCTTGCAGTCAGAAGTTCAAGACCAGCCTGGGCAACATAGCAAGACCCCCATCTGTATATAAACATAAAATTAAAAAAATAAATAACATTTTTTATAGCATTTCTTCCAAGAAAGTCTAAAATTCCACCTATTTTGTTGAATGTGATAGATAACTATTTTAATTACTCTTACTTTGAAGTCTAAAGAAGAAAACCTAGAATCATATTTTAGAAATATTACTTAATTTTTGTCTTAGTAACTGCTAGTTCAATTATTTTTCCTCTCACAACTCTAGAATTAGATTACAAACTACCACAATACAGATTCAGTTGATCAATAACTTCCAATGGCAATGAGTACATGGGAAAAATTAACTTCTTGATTATGCACAATATGCTTCATTTCCAACCCCATACACAAAAACATACAGTGTCTCAGAATAAGCAAGCTAAATCTTACTTCATAGCACTACTTTACTAATATTTAATTGAGATACATTTTCTTGTGTTTAAAGTTTAAATGGATTGGGATTTTATTTCATTTAAAACTAATGTGAAAGCAAAATTTAGCCTTTCTAGGTCTTCAGGTAAAAAGTCTATTTTAAAAAATCCTATTGACACATAAACAAATTTCACTGGTTTTGTTTTATAGCTAAAAAATCATAGTAGCTGTGACTACTTGGTTGAATCCTATTACTTTTAGCCTCTTTCTAGGATTTTTATAGGAAGAGATGGGAGAGCTGGATATACTAGATGTATAAAGGTCTGTTAACTTCCTAGAGAAATGACCAAGATACTTCCCTAACTTATCTATGCTAAGTTTTGCAACTTCTACAGCCAGCCTATGAGAGGCATTCATAAATAGAGCCATTTATGTAGTCTTAAGTCACTAAATTAGTGGTAATTTGTTACAGCAGCAATAGCAAACTAATACATTTTCTAACAAAAATTCCATTTCAGGATAAATGAAACAAATATACATATATATGTAAAGGATACAAGTCCATTCTGATAATACTGCACCAGTTTCTTGACAGATTTAAGTTGTTTTTCTTCCAAATCCTAAAACAAATAATCTTTTTTAGTTCTTTGGTGTATTAAATCTGTTGAGATTTTTTAAAAAATTCTTCAATATATAAAAAGACAGTAGGCACATTTAAATTATCAAATAATTCCTAAATTATTGTACTTTAATGTAAGCATTATAGAATGTCTTCTGAAACAGTGAAGGTATAAATAAACTCTCAGAACTACATATCATCCAGCAACCCCACTACTGGGATTTGTAAACAAAAGGAAATCAGTATATCAGAGGGATACCTGCACCACACTTCTTGCAATACTAATCACAATAGCAAAGATAAGGAATCAACCTAAGTGTGCATCAACAGATGAATGGATAAAGAAAATGTGGTATATATACACAATGGATTATTGAGTCATAAAAAATAATGAATCCTGTCATTTGTAGCAACATGGATGGAACTGGAAATCATTAAGTGAAATAAGCCAGACATAGAAAGACAAATAATTGCATGTTCTTACTCATATGTGGGAGCTAAAATAGTTGATCTCATGGAGTTGAAGACTAGAATGATGATTGCAGGAGTCTGGGAAGGGTGTGGGGAGGGATAAAGAGGGTAAGATAGGTACAAATATACAGTTAGATAGAAAGAATACTTTCTAAAGGTTGATAGCACAGCAGGGTGACTATAGTTAAACAATGTATATTTCAAAATAGCTGGAAGATATAATTGGAAATGTTCCCAACACATAGAAATGATAAATACTCGAGATGATAGGTATCCTAAATACTCTGACTTGATCATTATACATTCTGTGCATGTAAAAAAATGTCACATGTAGCCATAAATATGTAAAAATGATATTATGTATCAATAAAAAATAAACTATCATCTAAATTTGATTAGGAAATTGGAAATCAAAACTAGGGTAGTATAAAAACAGTAATTGTTTCCAGAAATAGTATTAACAATAGCTGAAGCACAATGAACATGTTTTTTATACCATGTACCACATAAACACTTTATATACATACCACTTCAATTATTTTCAAAATGACTCTGTCAGAAGATACCATGATTATCCCTCTTTTCCAGAATAGGAAACACAAAGTAAAACACTTATATGTTCAAAAACACAGCTAAAAAGTGGAATGTTAAGAGTCAAATTTGGCAATTTGACTCTAGAAATAGTATTTTTAGCCTCTAAGATATGCTCAATGTTCTGTGTAAACCAAACATCTTCAGTCAATTAGAAATGGAAATTTAAAATAAACCAAAATGGAAATAATTAAACAAAACTTCAGTGGTACAGTGAAGTGTTTTTATGACTGAATTCTGTCTTTTTAATCTTCTTAAATGGTTGCTTAGAAGCTGTGACATTATCTATCTGCTTTTTCCTAGCCTTAATAAACAGCTAATAGCAGCTCTATGAAGTTATGTTTTCTTTTTTAATACAGATAGTGTCACAATTTAAAAAACAACTTTTCACAAAAATCATAACCAGTAAAAGGTAAATTATTCTTATAGAGTTATTATCATTTTATGTTTTTCTTCTTCCTATGTAAAAAAGTAGTGACTAAAAAAGTGTTAAAACAATGATTAAATTTTTGTGCCTACTATTATAGGACATCATTTTGTTTTGATAGGCTATACCATGGACAACCCATTTTCTTTTTCCTTTTCTTTCTTTCTTTTTTTTTTTTTTTTTTTTTTAGTTCAGGTCTCACTCTGTCGTCCAGGCTAAAGTACAGTGGCATGATCATGGCTTACTGCAGTCTTGACCTCCTGAGCTCAGGTGAACCTTATGCCTCAGCTTCCCATGTAACTGGGACTACAGGTGAGCACCACTAAACCTAGCTAATTGTTTTTTATTTTTTGTAGGATTGAGGTCTTGCTATGTTGCCCAGGCTGGTCTTGAACTCCTGGGCTCAAGCAATGTTACTATCTCAGCCTCCCAAAATGCTGGGATTACAGGCATGAGTCACTCACCACATATTAAAACGTACATATTAAATGTGCCAAGAGTGGTGGCACACCTGTAGTTCCAGCTACTCAGGAGGATGAGGTGAAGGGATCACCTAAGCCCGGGAGGTAGAGGCTGTGATCAGCTGTGATCATCCCACTGCACTTCTTCAACCTGGGTAGCAAACAGAGTGAGAACACAACTCAAAAACAAACAAACCACAAAGAAAACACTCTTCTTTAGAAATTGCTACATAATTTTACAGTGTGTGGAGGCTTTTAGGCAGTCAATTCTTAGATAACATCATGTGGTGTGTGCATGTGTGCATGCATATTTGTTATCTTTTCTCCCAGTGCCTAAACTCTCAATTTTTAATCTTGTGTCTCAAATAATTTTATTTTCATTCATTTTATATAATATATCTCTCAAAATAAAGTATCTATGAGTGTGTGTGTGTATGTGTATCCATCCTAATTTCATATCAGGGAATTTTAATTAGTACATCACGATAATCTTTTTCTACTACTCCCCCTCTCCAATCCTACTTGGTAGTAAGTACTTAACAGAGGCTCAATGACCCTTTCTCTACTGTTATAACTGCTTCTGTTTACATACACCATGAGTTTACCCATTCCATAAATGCAAATCTGTTCTTCTCTAGCCTCCCTAAGTCATTAAATATATTTATATTAAATTTAAACAGTCCTTGAACGTAAGATATATACTGTTTGAAACAAAAAGAGATAAGTGAGACATTTGGGAAAACACATGTTACCACTCAGGGAAACAAAAGTTTATAAGAGATGTAGCAGAGTAATTTCCTCTCAAAGCTTACTTACTTTGCCAGTCTTTTCAAGAAGTTTGATGATATGATTAAGATCCAGAGCCTTGAAAACACCCTAAAAACACACATAACTCTTAGTATTCTATGTCATAAGAATAAAAAAATTACATCAAACACAATAATTTTATGTGACATTTTCTCTTCATAACTTAAAAATATGACAATAAGATAGTAAGGGGAGAATGAAAAGCAGATGAGAATGTACAGAAATTTTTAAAAATTCAGAAATTCTAGTATTATCTTATAATCTCAATTTTTGTTTGCTTGAATACTTTTTTTTTTTTTTTTTTGAGTTGGAGTCTCACTCTGTCGTCCAGAATTGAGTGCAGTGGCCGCTCCTGGCCACTGCAGCCTCGACCTGCTGGGTTCTGGCGATCCTTCCGCCTCAGCCTTCCGAGTAGCCAGAATTACAGGCATGCACTACCACGCCCGGCTGATTTTTTGATTTATTGCAGAGATGAGGTCTTGCTGCCCAGGCGGGTCACGAATTGTTTACTTATTTATTTATGGAGATGAAATCTCACTCTGTCATCCAGGTTGGAGTGCAGTGGCACAATTATAGCTTGCTGCAGCATCAAGCTCCTGGGCTCAAGTGATCCTCTCACCTCAGCCTCCTGAGTAGCTGGGACTACAGGGGCATACCACCATGCTGGGCTCTTATCTTAATGTTTTAAAATTTAATTAGCACCGAAAGGCTCAAGAGAACAGTTGGAATAACAGCACTCCCATGCCTTCAGAAATAAAATTATTTTGTACTTGCACACACACCACACTAAGTTTGCCTATACAAATCTATGACAAGAGTAACTTCTAAACAATAGGTAGGAGATTGCTGTCCTGAACAAGGTATCTCCTTCTCTCAGTTGGTCCCAGCATTCTTCTAGTCATCCACAAGAGAAAACAAGAAGCTCAAATTCCACAGAATCTATATCCCATCTTACTAATTTATTCAGTTCTCATCTCTCACACAAGTTCACATTCTTACAGCTTTCAACACTTCTCTCAATAGTCAGAATAATACGACTCAAATCTAAACATAAGTCATCCAAAACATTCAATGACTCTCCATTTATGCCCCTCATCCCCCCCTCTGTTTTCACTTCCATTGTTAAAATTCTCACCATGGTTAATTCCCACAGGTCCTTCATGATGAAGTTCAGGTGTTACCTCCCCAAAGGATGAAAAATGCTAGATAAATGTCTCCCCTGTGCTCCCATAGCACTCTAAGCATATATCCATTATAATTCCCATCACCTTGTTCTGAAAGAATTTACATGTTTTTCTCCCTACCACTTCCTACCCAAAAGTTTGCTTGAGAGCAAAGATTTTTGTGTTCTGGCATTCCCAGTATTCAACACTGGACCTGACACACAGTATCGTTAGTTGCTTAATAAATGCTTAGAAAATTCAGCCAAGAAGAAGCTATTTTATAATAAAGTTATTTATAGTTAAATAGGGAAGGAAAGAGGAGGTGCTATCATCCAAAATTTAAGTGCTAGATCATGAATGGCCAAAGCAATTCTGAGCATAAGAACAAAGCTGGAGGTATCACATTAATGACCTCAAAATATACTACAAGGCTATATTAACCAGAGCAGCATGGTACTAGCATTAAAAACAGATGCAATAGAACAATAGAACAGAATAGTCAACCTAGAAATAAATTCACTCATTCATATCCAACTCATTTCAACAAACGTGCCAAGAACATACACTGAAGAAAGGATAGCCTCTTCAATAAACGGTGCTGGGAAAATTGGATATCTATATGCAGAAGAAATAAACCATCTCTCATCATACACAAAAATCAAATCAAGATGGATTAAAGATTTAAGTATAAGACCTAAAACTATTAAATTAATGAAAGAAAACACTTCAGGACATTGTTCTGGGTAAAGGTATTTGGGGTAAAATCTCAAATGTATAGGCCTTAAAGCAAAAATAGACAAATGGCATTACATCAAGCTAAAAAGCTTTTGCATAGGTAAGGAAACAATCAACAGAGTGAAGAGATAATCTACAGAATGAGAAAAACTATTTGCAAACTATTCACCTGAGAATGGATTAATAAACAGGATATACAAGGAACTCAACTCAATAGCAAATCAAATTAAAGTATTTATGTTGATATAGAAATCTCCAAAGTCTGAATGCAGTTTTGGCCACATTTATCTTGAGGACCAATGCTTTGTTGCCTGACATTTTATTTTTAATTCAAATGTTGTATCATACCACTTGCACCCACTACAAGAATGAAACTATCCCAGATTTCTTTGTTTCCTCTTTCATGCTTTCACACTTCTACTTTAAAAAAACTGGTTGAAAAGATAATGTAATAATGATATAAAGAATATTCAGCGTGTGCCTATAGTCCCAGCTACTTGGAAGGCTGAGGTGGAAGGATCACCTGAGCCCAGGAGATTGTGGCTATGGTAGCCATCAGCGTGCCACTACACTCCAGCCTAGGTGACAGAGTGAAACTCCAACTCAAAATAAATACATAAATAAATAAATAATAAAATAATATTCAAAAGGAGGTCAGGCACAGTGGCTCTCAATTGTAATCCCAGCATGTTGGGAGGCCAAGGCTGGCAGATTGCAGGAGTTCAAGACCAGCCTTGGGGAACACAGCAAAATCCCAGCATGTTGGGAGGCCAAGGCTGGCAGATTGCAGGAGTTTGAGACCAGCCTCGGGGAACACAGCAAAATCTCATCTTTATTTAAAAAAAAAAAAAAAAAAAAAAGAGCCAGGTATGATGGCTCACAGCCTGTCGCTCCAGTTACTTGGGTGGCTGAGGTGGAAGGATCACCTGAGCCCAGAAGGTTGAGGTTGCCATGATCTGTAATCATTGTGATCATGCCACTGCACTACAGCATGAGACCAAGTCTCAAAATATATATATTCAAAAGGAAAAAAAATCCTGCTTATTTCTATCATCTAAATACATCAATTCTAATGTTCATATGTTTTATTTTGTTTACATGTATAAATATATAATTTCACTTAGTGTTAAGTTCATTGCATTTTCTGAATTTTAAAACTGTAATGTATGGCCAGGGGTGCACTGGCACACGCCTGTAATTCCAGCACTTTAGGAGGCAGAGGTGAGAGGATTGCTTGAGCCCTGGGGTTCAAAACCAAACTGGGCAATTTGGTGAGACCTCGTATCTACAATAAATCAAAAAATTAGCCGTGAGCAGCCCACTGCACTCCAGCCTGGACAACAGAGTGAGACTTCCTACTCAACAAACAAACAAACAAAAAATTTGATCTATATTTCTACATAGTCATTACTACATTGCATCTTAGGTCTAGATTTGTCTTTCACAATTACAAACTCATATATTTTGGCCTCAAGAAATTTCTTTCAGAAACAATTTTGAATTCAATATTCTGACTTTAAGCCTACAGAATAAGTATTTGAATGAATTTATTTATTCAAAATGATTTTTACTTTTAAAAGTAATTTTTAAAGGATATATAAGTATTTATTTATTTATTTATTTTTGAGTCAGACTCTCACTTTGTCACCCAGGCTGGAGTGCAGTGGCATGCACACTCATGGCCACCCCATCGTCGACCTGAGGGGCTCCGACGATCCTTCCGCCTCAGCCTTCCAAGTAGCTGGAATTACAGGTACACGCTACTATGCCCGGCTAATTTTTGATTTATTGTAGAGACGAGGTCTTGCCAAGTTGCCTGCACTGGTCTCAAACCCGCGTGTTCAGGCAATCTACTAGTGGCCTCTCAACATGCTGGGATTGTAGGCTGAGCCACCGAGCCTCGCCACAAGTACTTATTTATACCTGGTATCATGGTTAGCATTAAAAAGGCTAAATATTACTATTAAATTTATTGTTACCAGGCCAGGCGCAGTGGCTCAGCCTGTAAACCCAGCACTTTAAGAGGCTGAGGCTAGAGGACTGCCTGAGCCTGCGGGTTCAAGACCAGCCTGGGCAACTTGGTGAGATCTTGTCTCTACAATAAATTACAAAAATTAGATGGATGGGTCGGCATGCATCTGTAGTTCCGGCTTCTTGGAAGGCTGAGGTGGCAGGATCATCTAAGTCCAGCAGGTGGAGGTTGTGGTGGCTGTGAGTGTGCTGCTACACTCCAGCCTAGGCGACAAGAGTGAGACTCCAACTCAAAAAAAAAAAATTGTATTGTTACCAAAAAAATTGGTAAATAGAATTTTGTCTTTTGGCCAGATGTGGTGGCTCGCATCTGTAATTCCAGCACTTTGGGAGGCCGAGGCTGGAAGATCATTTGAAGCCAGGAGTTCAAGATCAGCCTGGACAAAATAGTGAGATCTTCTCTCTAAAAAAAAAAAAAATTAGCCAGGTATGGTGGTATGTGCCTATGGTCCCAGCTACTCAGGAGGCTGAAGCAGGAGGATTGCTTGAGCCTAGGATTGCCCCACTGTATGCAGCCTGGGCAACAGAATGAGGCTCTGTCTCTAAAAAAAAAAAGAAAGAAAGAAAAATAATTATGTCTTTTAAGGTTTAAAGTTTTAACAGTACCATCTGCCACTACCTTGGTTGTTATTTCCCTTTTCTTTCTATGTACTCAGATTTCATGTGTATATATGTGTGTGTGTTTATACATATATATGTATATATAACACACATATACATATGTAAATGTACGTGTGTGTATGTGTATGCGTGTGTGTATTGTTTCACAAACTGTGCCAGGTGTGGGAAACACACTATCCTGCTCTCAGGTAGCTATCAGTCTGGCATGGAATTTTACAGAAGGCTTTGTATGTGATACTAAGGATCTTAAGAAGCCTTTAAACAGTTCAATAAACTGAATATGCAAACAATGGTTGGATTATATGTGACAAAAGAACTCTGGCCCACAATCTCTGCAGCACCAACCCAGGATGCCTAGTCACAACTTCTGTAGCAATTGGCCCAGAAAAGTCAGGATTTGGTCAATGACTGCCAGTTTTTCCTTCCAGAATTTTATCCTCCTGCTTTCAATTTAGGGACCAACCAGAGGAAGCCAAATACACTTCCCAATTCAATCACATAGCATATCCCCTTCAAGCC